AGATAGATAGATAGATAGATAGATAGATAGATAGATAGATAGATAGAGAAAATTACGAGGGTGGTTGCAGCATGTGAACGCGTCATACAACAGCTGTTACGTTAGTATTGCGCATGCGTGACAACTTCCGGGCCATGGCCGTTCGGCCGATCCTATAGGCAAACCTTGTTTTGTGGGTGGAAAACATGCTGAAGTGATGTCAGCGACAGTGGTCAGTAGGTCAGCTGCCCTGTAATGTATATACTCTGTAAGTCCGTCCTATAGGCAGACACATAAAAACCCCAACAGCAGCAAATTGCTGCTTGTCGGTTGTTTATCCACGAGTAATTTAGAGTTCATCATTCAGGAAGATATGGTACCGGTAATAGCTTTTTTCTGTCGTTGCTAGCGCTAGCATGCTAGCCTTGGGAAATAAAGATGAGACCATCATTTCAATTTGAAAGGAGAAAACGCATAGGCGTGTGACGGTGCAGGTATGTTTATGGGGCTCGAAGGGTTATTTTTGTTATGGTTGTTTAAATTATAGTAAAACTTATCTTTAACGTAAACGAGAGTTTACTTATCTGGTGCACAATGCGTCAGTAAGTCGTATTTCGTTCAAACAAAACGGTTTTAAATTATTGAAGTAAAGCCTATGATTCTAAGTGTACAGTTAATTTAACATTTTTTTTAGGTTCTCACGGTCACCTCTTTTAAGTCTTATTAACTGCTCACATTTGAAAAACAGCGCCTCTCATTGTGAAGACGCCTAAATGCTGCTATCTTCCTGTGATAAAACAAAGTCGTGCTTTATTAACAGCCCAGCCAAACGGGTCAAATTAGAAACGTTGGATGAAGTATAGACGTTAAATATGTAATGTATCGACACAGGTTTTCATGGTACTCTGTATTTAAGATAACATTCTTCATTATCGACTGGCTTACTAGTTCTAATTTTTGCATCTTTTGTCTTGTCGTTTTTTCAGGCCTCCAATGAATTTGACACTCTCACACTGTTCTTTACCCTTGCGTTTTATACTCCTTAGAGAATATTATAAACCATGATCCCTTCTGAGGCTGCAAGAGAGTTCCAGCTGAAAGAGCGCAAATACAAAGAGCACCTCAGGAGATGTTTGTCATCTTCTCTGGCTACAGACCTGAGTAGGTAAGGACATTGATGGAATCCTCTGATCTGCAAAGGCAAGGCACAAAGGCTGACCTTTGATACATTTCAACACGACTGACACAACACAAAGATTTCTTTGCTAACTGTGAATGTAATACAAAGAAGCCATTCGATAAAGCTCTTTTTGAGATTGGAGTTAGTTGTTTTTTAAAACATTTTTCTTTCATTATATCTATTTTTTAATCGTGCACATTTATTACACTAAAAAAAGAGGTACCAACAATTATATGGCTTTTGCCTTGAGGCCCTTGTTGGTAGCCTTCTCTTCTTGTACTGTAGCGCAATATAATTGATTTTTATTACCTACAGTGCTGAACATTAAACTGGTGTACATTGTGCAACAACAACATACAGTCAAAATATAACATGCTCCACCACCACTACAGGATTTCAAGTAATATCTAAGGGACATTTTCCATATACAGTTGTGAACAAAAGCCCCTAAAGTTGAATGTGAAAGCTATTTGAAATTTTAAACTTTAAGACATATTGGCAAGGCTGTGTATAGTAACTTTTTATGATTCAAGCACTGGTGCTAAAAATGCTTGGCACACAAAAAAGTTTTAGCACCAACACAAATTATCTCTAAAATCTTTAAAGCCCAACAGTTGCACATATTATTAATTAAAAAAAAAGTGCTTAAAACACTTGTTCATCAGTTTGTAAGTGATGCAAGCAAAATAACCTATTTATTTAAAGATATTAATATAGATGTGTTTGATACATAAGTTGTTGGAGTATGCGACAATAAAATGTGTGCAATTTGTGTCACACTGCAATGTGTATACTGTATAACTTTTACAGAAACGCATTCAATTTCTAACATTTAATACAGCCAAAACGATCATCTCCCTGAGTTGGACCTGGTTGTCATAAGATGGAGTGATATCTGCTCCATTCTTTTTGGAAAATTAGATAAAACTCCTCAATTTAGTAAACGGAAGCCCTTCTTTTGCGATACAAATAGCCACATTCATCTTTACTCCATTAAGCTCAGCCTTCTCCACTCTGGCCACTCCAGCCTTGAGGAAGTGTAGGAAAGTACCAGCACACTCTGGTTGTTGTTTTGAGGTGAAGGCATCCACAATGTGATGTGTGGGGGCACTTTGTCAACGTATGAATTTTTCATTTTGAATAAACCTTGACAGAGTTAAGCATGCTGGTGGAAACATGATGTTTTTGGGCCTTTTTTGTTCTAGCAAAGGAGACAGGACGACTGTTCCATGTTAACGGAAGAATAAACAAGGCCATGTATCGGGAGATTTTAAGGCCAAACCTATCAGTGAAAGCATTGAAGATGGAAAGTGGCCAGGTCTTCCAGCATGAAAATTATTCCAAACACACCGCTTAGGCAATAAAGAAGTGGCTCCATAAGAAGCATTGAGGTCCTTGAGTGGCATAACCATTCCCCAGACCTCAACTCAATAGAAAATTTGTAGAGGGAGTTGAAAGTCCATGTTGCCCTGCAGCACCCCCATAACGTCACTGCTCTAGAGGAGACATGTATGGAAGAATTGGCCAAAATACCAGCTACAGTGTGCAGGTACATTGGCTTGGTAAGGCTCACAGGAATATTTTGACTTCTATCATTGCCAACAAAGGTTATGTTGTAAAATATTGATCTGAACTTGTGTTATTGACCAAATACTTATTTTACACCATAATTTACTAATTAATTCTCACCTTTCTAAGTATGAAAATGTGTACAATCATTGGCTAAAATACTTTTTTTTCCCACTGTGTTTGTGTTTGTCTACCTTTTATC